AGACCCCCCATTGTTAGACACCAATGGCTACAAGCCACGTGGCTTCCCCTGGAGCCTCCGATCCAAAAATCTTATTCAATCCAACGACTCTCCAATTTTTGGCTAATAAAAATTGAAAAAATTTGTAAAAAAATCAATAAATTATGTATTTTTTATTATATAAATACCTACCAATATTATTCACTTTTCACACCAAATCTTCATACAAATTCATCTCCTTCTAATATTTTTCACACCAAATTTTCTATTACAAAATTCCATTTGTGCAAAAATACAAATGACCTCTTCCATTGAAGCCATAGGGTCGTGGACAAATATTTGAAGAGGTCAAAATCTTGGCGATGAGGTAAAAAAAATTAATTGATGTTAAAAAAGAGGAAAACCAGTACACATGCTCCTCAAATGAAAAATGTCTGCAGTCGGTCCCACTAGTGTGTTCCATGTCGGAAATAATTGCACTATTACATCCTCTGAAGGAAAATACTCCCCCACGTCATGATCCGGTGGAACCGCATCCGCCAATGATTGAGTCGTCCTTGTACTCGATTGTGTCGGACTATGAGGACCGGGAGTATTTCAATTGTATGATGAGTGAGTAAGTATTTCAATTGTATGATAAGTGATATGTGAATTTTATATTAAATATGGACATGTGGCAACCGAAAATCTTATCCTAAAATTTAATCCGAAAATCTTATCCCAAAAATGTATCTGAAATTTAAGATGAAAAATTTATAATAAATAGTGACACGTGGCAACCGAAAATTTTATCCGAAAATCTTATCAAAATTAATCGTTTAAGTATACAAAAATATAAAATAAATTAACATGAATAGTGTTTGCCCTTGCCCTTGCCTATTAGGGTGAAACCAAAAAAGGCGAGGCTATAACTATTCGTGTGAATAGTGACAAACCTTGTCTTGCAGCCCTTGCCCTTGCCCTTTGAGGTGGAGGTACTCTTAGGAGCTCCTAGAGATCTTCCTATTTTAGGAGTTAGATAGGAAGCATAGTTGGAGGTAGGTTTTCTCACTTCCTCTCTAAATTTTATATAAGGAGGTGGTTTTACCATTTAATATTATAAACAATAAGTTAACGAGGTCTAGCTCAATGGAAAAGGGCTTTGACTTGCATACTAGTGTTCTCACGTTTGAGTCCTCGTAGAACTTTGACAGTGTGTGTGATAAAATAAAACTCCCCGCCTCCAATTTCGCTTATATCAAAAAATAATATTACCTAGTACTGTTTCTTTCGTAAACGTTGTTCTCTTGCTCACGATAAAGATTATGAAAAGAACACAACTTTGAGCATCCCCAATTGCTTTTAGAGCGCCTATGAACTAAATTAGAGCATTTATGTCCCAAATATAAGAGCATCCATGTCCTAAATCAAAGTCTCCAAGCAGTGTAGATTCTCCATGCACAAAATTAGAGCCAACCACCAAATTAATTGTAGTTTCCAAACATTAAATTAGAGCATCCATATACAGAATTTGAGCCTCCAAGAACAAAACTTAAGTCTTCATGTCCCGAAATTAAAGTATCCAAGCATTGAATTAGAGACTCTAAGACTCATATCTGCATTTGTGGCTTTGTAGCTCAATGATCAATTTTGACCACTTGATGGGTCGTTTGAGAATGATGCATATTAATCCCTTCAAATTCCTTTTCATGGCTCCTCTTAACCTTGATCTCCTTGTGGAGGCATGGCATAGCGAATTCTTTTGAGTAGGGTTGGATCTTGTTTTTAGGTTTTCTGCAATTTGGGGTTTTTTTTATATGTTGTTTTGAGCTTTCGACTTTCCTTTTGATATGGTTGCCCTTGTTATTTCTTCTAACCAAAAAAAAAAAAAAAAAAAAAAAAGAGCTTTAATTTAGGGCGTGAATGCTTCAAATTAGAGCGTGGAAGCTGCAATTTTTATATTGAAGACTTTAACTTTTGACACTGAGGCTTGTGGTGTAGTAAGCAAATAGAGGGGTGTGCAAAGAATTCCAAGTTTAGTGGGAAGGTAGTTGTCTGGTGTGCAATGGGGTTAGACTTGTAAACGGGTCAGATTCAGATTAGATATATCTCAATTTAAATTTGAATTCATTTATAGTCAGATTATTGGATTCGGACTTTTGGATTTCTTATGAAGAGTTGTATCTCTTGACTATATGAAAAGTTGTATCTTTTAGATATCAAAAGTTATATCTAAAAGATACAACTTCTCATATAGTCTCAGAAAATTAATAAAATCAGTTTATCTAAATGTAATTATGTAAAGGTGTAAATGGAATTATAAATAGCAAATGTTATAGGCTGATGTTGTATTGCAGAAAGTTAATATATAAAATCAGTTTAATTTGGATGGGAGAGGGAGGTGGAGCGATAGAGGGAGAGGGAGAGGGAGAGGTAGATGTAGAAGAAGAGATAGCTCAGGTGCGCAAAATAAAAATTAGGTGGGAAGAATAGAAAAAAGAAGAAGATGCTTTTGATATTTTATTTATGGGGCAGTGCACTTCTAAGTTACAACACACGCCAGCCAGACGATTTTTCATATATCTCACTCATATCTGTTTATGAATCTTCTTTGTTGGTATGAAATTGTTTCCTTATTTTTATAAGCTCCTCACATCACCACAATCCCAATATATTCACAATAGCATATGTAGATTTCTGAACCCACGTTTACCTAGTGGTGCTTATAAAATGGAGAATTACAAAAATAGATGCACGGAGGTGAGTGAGAGGACTGAGACAGGCTGTGAGATCTCCATATGCATGGGCTTTATTTAACAAGCTTTAATATTTTATTGGTACTTTTGCGTACCACTCACCGGTTTGGTTTGGTTTAACCGATGGTTCTCAATATCAAGCACCTAACACCGAATCATAGACATCGGTTTGGTTTGATTTCAAATCGATAACCAATAAAAAAATATATATGCTAGGCTGTTTGACCAGGTTTTCGGTGTGTATGCCCAGCCCTAGTCATGGTGTAATGAATCCTGTTTTCGCACACTATATTAGGCATATTTGAAGTGTTAAAGATGCAGAGTTTGGAAATGCTGAAAAATACGATAAAACCTTTGATTCATGTCTCATTGCAGGATTTATCAGGTGAACTCCAAAAGCATGATGTGGAGGAGGACGGCCATACAATTACAACTCATCAGCACAATGTGATTCTGCACAGGCAAGTGCCTGTGACAACCCTTGGCAGTTTTTCAACTGGGATAACCAGTGCTTTGTTAAAAGGAAATTACACCATTCCCCCAATTAGTACCTAGTGTGTGACCTCTGTTATTCCAACAACTACCAACCGGTCTACACAAATGGGAAAGATTTCCAGTGGATTTAGTTTCCCCATATTATCTACACATATCCTGTGTAGATTCTGCTTATGGCACACATTTAATGGTGTCCACTGTACCTAACATTCTTAAAAGTAGTTCGACTTTAGGTCAGATGTGTATAAAATTTAACACACACACATACACATCATATCAGAGAGAGAGAGAGAGAGAGAGATGAGTTCAATGGGGTGGTCTTTTCAGGCATATTTGATGAACCTCATCCTCGTATCAGTTTTCATCATCCCGCATGTACTTGGTTGCTTCAATTCGGTCATCAGCTTTGGAGATTCACTTACTGATACAGGCAACTTATACAACAGCTCCCCTAACAGATCTCTCCACTACTTCCAACCGCCATATGGGGAGACCTACTTTCATCATCCCACGGGACGATGCTCCGATGGTCGTTTAATCATAGACTTCATTGGTACGTACGCATATATCCACTTATATGTATATCTATATATCTGACTTTTTTCATCTTCTCATTTAACTTTCACTTCATTTTTGCAGCTCAGTTTCTAGGGCTTCCTCTAGTACCACCTTTTCTTCAAAGCCTGAACAGTACTCAACCTGTCCAAAACTTTGAAGCGGGTGTGAATTTTGCAGTAATAGGAGCCACGGGGCTCGATGCATCCTTTCTTGCAACAATGGAAATTCATAGTCCAAGTACCAACAACTCTCTAAGAATTCAACTGGAGTGGTTCAAACAAATGCTGCCATCTTTATGCAACACATCTTTAGGTAATTATATCACTACGGAAAAAAGTAGTCATTTGCGGCAAATTTTTTCCAAGGGACCCCAAATACCCTCGGAAAAAATACCATTTCCAAGAGCAAAACACCCTCCATCATCAATAATGCAACAATAT